CTCCCCCTTCCCCCCTCCACCCCCTCCCCCCTCCACCCCCTCCTCTTCTCCCTCCTCCCTCCTCCCTCTCCTGTCCCTCTTTCCTCTCTCTTCCTCCCTCCTCCTCCCTCCTCCTTTCCCTTTTCGTCCCCCTTGTCTCCTCCCTCCTCCTGCCTCCCTCCTCCCTCCTCCCCCCTCCCTTCCCCTTCCGTCCTCCCTCGTCGCTCCCGTTTGATATTCCCTTACATTTTACTCAAGACTGAGGCCCTCGTTTCGGCATCGCCTCTGGGGGGCTTCCCAGAGTCCCCGTTGAACCTTTATTGTCAAATAGTTATCATTTTAGAAGAGCGCAGATAATGTGGAGGAGGAGAGGAAGGAGGACTGATGACTTCCAGGGGTTCCAAGGATCGAGGGTCGAAGGATTGACTTCAGGGATTCCTTGAGAGGGCGTGGGTGGGGCAGGTGGAGGATGCGAGCATGGGGGCGGCAGCGCCTGGGGGCGTGAACGTTCAGGGTCACGCGCCGAGGCCGCGGGATAATGGCGTAATAGTTCGAACGAGGAGTAAGAACCACCTCGTCCTCGGAGGTACTGCTGTTACAACTACTGCTCCTTCCTCCCCCTCCTCCTCCTCCTCCTCCTCTGTCCTCCTCCTCCTCCTCCGATCCTTCTTCCTCTCCCTCATCTTCCCTCCCCTCCTCGTCCTCGTCCTTCTCCTCCTCCTCCGAGATGCGGGGCGTGCGCAAGGCGATTGCGATGGCGATGTGCCGCCCGAGCTGTGGATGTCGAAGTTCCTCGGAAGTCGCGGTGGCAATACTTTCTTGGGCGGGAGATCTAGGCGAGGGAATATCGGGCCCCGCGCGACAAGCAATCCCCGATGATGGGGTGTGGTATCCAGAGGGATGCGCGTGACATGTGGAAGCATGGCGCATGATGGTAAAATGGCCGTTGTTGTTGTTAGCGTTGTTGTTGAACTCTCACTACAGAAGAATCATTAGCGTTGACCCCCCGTCCGGCGCGCGTGGCATTTTCCAAGTCGGGCGCCCCTCCCGGCGCCCGCGCCTCTTTTTTTTGTGTGTGTTTTTTTTTGTTTTGTGTTGTTTTTTATATAAAAAATGAACGTCTTCTTCTTCAAACTGCGTCGTTGGCCCCCGGGTTACAGCGACAACGGCTCCCGCCTGAGACTTCCTCGCAATTTAGCCAGGACCCCCGACCCCGCCCGGGACTTCCTCAACTTTGATTAAGGAATCGCGATCTCGCTTGATACTTTCTTACAATTGATTCAGGAATCGCTTTGTCGGCGCTCCTGGCGTCGCGTTCTCGCTCGAGATTTGCGTGCAATGCGTTAAAGAATGCGCCCTTGCGTTGGGATTTCCCGCAATTTATTTAAGCGCCGCGTTCCCGACACTCAGGCACCCAGGAGTCGTGCTCACGTTTAGGATTCCCTCGCAGATTGTAGAGGCATCGGGATCTCACTGCCCTTCGTGGCCCCGTTGCAGCCTTCTGGCCCCCTCGCTGCCTTTCGTGGCCCCGTTGCAGCCCCTCGTGGCCCCCTCGCTGCCCTTCGTGGCCCCGTTGCAGCCCTTCGCGGCCCCTCTCGCTGCCCTTCGTAGCCCCGTTGCAGCCCTTCGCGGCCCCCTCGCTGCCCTTCGTGGCCCCGTTGCAGCCCTTCGCGGCCCCTCTCGCTGCCCTTCGTGGCCCCGTTGCAGCCCCTCGTGGCCCCTTTGCTGCCCTTCGTGGTCCCGTTGCAGCCCTTCGCGGCCCCCTCGCTGCCCTTCGTGGCCCCGTTGCAGCCATTCGCGGCCCCCTCGGTGCCAGAGACCAACACACTTCGGCCTACAGCCTGGTGGCCCCGCGAGGGGGCGGGCGGATTCCCAATTCGCGCTCTCGCGTGGGATTTCTTCACAAAGTATGCATGCAAAAATCGCTCCCGTGTGGGACTTCCTCGCAATTTATTGAAACGCCGCGCCCTCGACACTCAGGAATCACGCTCTCGCTGTGGATGTCCGCGCTGTCGCTCGAACTTACTCGCGATTCATGCAGGACGCACGCACCTGGTCGACCTGGCCGCCTGGGTCTGCTTTCCCGGCCCGCCCGCTAGGGTCTACCCGCCCGATCTGCCCGTGTGGTTCTGCCACACGCTTTCTGCTCCCAGCCCCCGTCCAGCTAATCTCTCTCGTGCTCAATCCTCCTCCCCCCTTGTCCCTTCCTTCCATCCGCGCCCCCTTCCCCGACCTTCGTGACTGCACGTGGGTACGGTCGAAAACGAAGAGGACGTGTATCGAGGGTCTGGGAAATACGGATTGAATGGGTACGCACTCAGATGAGAGCAAATTGTCTTAACTCTGCTAAGCAGATGTATGCTGCTGCTGCTCTTGTTATTGGTGGTGATGTCGAATGATATGGTGATGATGATGAGGCTGATGATGCTGCTGCTGATGATGATGGCTATGAAGGCGATGGTGACAAGAGTAGCGATACTTGTGATGATGATGCTGGTACCGATCATGACGGTGGCAGTGG